GCTTCCAAAGAGCAGTCTTTTCTAATTAATTTTCCACCATTTGTCCTTCACTGGCCAGAAACCAGGCCCTCAGTCGGACTTGTGGAATCTGTTCATCATACTGGTTTCCAAACACAGTTGGGTAGTGGTTTTCCCATGGTTCCTAGGAGGACAGGAAAAAAAAACATTGGTCAGTACAAGAGTAAAAATGCACTAATTTGCTCTGTTGCTCACAAGTTCAGGGCCCTCGAAATCTTTGACCAATCTGAGACATTTAAACATTATTAGGAACCAGAACGAACAACATCGGTCTAAAAACGTGCAGCGCAACGCAACAATCGTGTCTGGAATCGACGTACCGGTAGGTTTGAGTTGAGAACAATGCAAGAGTGTGGGAAGGATTTATAAAGCCTTAATATATATATAAATACTATAATAAATTTAACGCTCCTACTTTGCGTTTTTTCACCTATATGTGTGGAACGTAACCGCCGCAATAATCGCAGGACTACTGTACATCCAGCCCTGACAGACTACACAATCTAATTTTTTGTCATTAAAAAAACTGGAAGCATCATGTAGGTAAAGCAACAGTCGAGGAATTGTTTTAATGAAAAATAAATGTGTTTGGATTCAATTCAAGGGAAAATAATTCAAGTACAACGTCTTGTTTTTTTAATCTCATCTATTGTTTAACCCGTTAATGAAAAAATTCTAATAATTCTAATCTACTGAACGGTCAATGAACAAGACTTCAGAATTAACTTTTTTTTAAAACCCCTTGGAGTTGCAGTAACATTAACCTCATAAACCATTTAATGAAGTAGAAATTTAGTTAAAATCATAAAAAAATCAAATCAAAAGCATTGAAAAATCACATTTTTTGACAGCTATTATGGCTTCAATCACCTTTGGCAGTAGGTGACAAATCTTTTAAACTTTATGCTGCAACATCTTCAGCTTTCTACCATTTTTAGTGTTCGTACTCATCAAATCTCAGTCGGTCTGAATCCTGTTGTTCTTTGACAAAGCTCCATGCAGAGCCTCATCTCAGCCTCAGACGCTGGTGACTCAGAACCGGCCCATGAGCTGCTGAAACCAAACTCAGTGACGTTTCTGCCAAAGAACAGGCTCGATAAAAACGAGGCTGTTAAATTTATGCCGTTTATCAGGCAGCGCATAACGGCATCAGTAAAATCATCGTCTCAGGAGAGATCTGTGGCTTCTTATCAGTGAAACCACCGCATCATTAAAATCTAATTTCCCGCTGCCCCATGTTTGGCAAAAACAGAGATAACAAAAAAGAACAATTTCCATCAGAATGATGTTTTTACCAACATATAGCACAGTGGTGCCGTATAAGAAAGTCTGATTCATTTTTGTCTTGTGTCAAAATGTCACAGAAAATACACAAAACATGATGAAGAGGACAAGCCTGAAATCAGATATATGTGGTGTTTCATTAGAAATGACAAAAAATGTGTCTTAGCTAAATGTTTTATTCGAGGTAGTTGGAGTGAGGACAGAGCATGCAAAGGACAGAGGGAGATGGAGCAGGATGACTTGCTGTGGAGGCCCCCGAAGAGGGAAAAGCCAAAAGATGAAGCAGCAGATACTTCATTCTTATTACCGTATTTTCCGACCTATAAGTCGCAGTTTTTTTTAGGGGTGCACCGATTGCAGTTTCCTGGCCGATCACCAATTTCTAAAAAGTCTGACCTGTTGATTCCAATTTTGGCCCATACCAATTTTATTTTGAAAGCGACACTGTCAGGTGTTAAGGTCACAATGCACCTTCAATTTTCCAATCTTATTTTATTGAAAAACATACCCTTGAACAATATTCTAGAAACAATACAACCATGTTTTAACTGGCCATGAGGTAGTGCTCTGAAATATAAATGAAGTTCAGACAATTGTTAAAACTACAAAAAAAAAAAAAGGTAAAATCGGTTTCTCATGCAAGTATCGGCTGATCTCTGATTTCCCAAAATTAAGGAAATCGGGGCCGATTTATCGGTGCACCCCTAGTTTTTTTTTTTTAACATAATTTACATGCCCAGCGAATTATACACCAAAGCGACTTATTTATGTTTCCCCCCCCCATATTTATAAACCAATTTTTGGCTGATATATGACTGTTTTCATTCATTCTGACACTGAATATATTGAACACTACCATTTTCAGCCGCTAGATGGCAGCAGAGTAGTATGGCACGCCATTGTGACATGTAATAGGTAAAAGTGGCTATTAATGACACAATCGGCTGGCAAAATGCAGCCAATTTGACCATCAAAGTGCATTTATTAAGTAAAAGTTCAACTGAGACACACCTTTACTATAAAGTCGAGCAAACAAATTATTGTTAGGTTGTTTTCTTGTTGAATTTCGAAGAAATGCACAGCGAGTCATTCCTCTGAATGCTCCTGCTTCCGCATATTGGCTTTTGAAATGCAGCTGATTTCAATCAACCTTTATTTATACAGGTAAATCCCATTGAGCCTCGAGGACTCATTTACAAGAGAGACCTGATTTCAACAAAGAAAGATGACAACAATGGACAACAGCAACAACAATAAACAGACCGTCAATTTGACCGTCAAAGTGCATTTATTAAGGAAAAGTTCAACTGAGACACACCTTTATTATAATTTCGAGCAAATAATTGTTTTTAAGTGTTAATCTTGTTAAATTCTTGTTACAAGTCCTCCCGTGCATGCACCCGCAGCCGCCACTTGGCAGCCAATTGATTTTTGGCACACCAGCCCACATATTCGAGTTGTCAGTGGTGACACATAAATGCGACGCATCAGCGTTGACATAATAGATGCGACGTATATGGCGAAGCGACAAATTTATGCTTTTTTTCCACTTTATTAGACTATTTGGACTGATGCAACTTATAAGGTAGTGCAACGTGTATGGCGGAAAATACGGTATTTATCATGTTTGAGCTGAAACTTTAAACCTATATTTTGCACTTTATTTTGCAAGTTTAGTTGACGTTTTATTTTGTGGTGCACTGTCAATGTCAAGCTGGGTGGTTAAAAATAAAAATGAAAGGTTTTTTTGGGGGGGGTTAAACTGCTGATTGCGATTTTTTTTTAAAGCAAAATTAGTCTTTTAGATGAGCCATCAAAGGCAAGACTTAAGTACAAGATTTAGGTGCTACGACTGGAGTCAGACTTCAATCAGACATTAATGCACAACTCCTGAAGGCTTAAAATGAAAAAGTTTAAATAAGAAATGACATCAAATGGTACATAGAACCACAGCTAAAGATGCCTGAGTAATTGAATTTGCGGCCCATTAAAACCAGCAGTTTATGCAAATGAAAATGTTCCATCTAAATGTACACATTTCAAAGAACATAATCAGGCTAAGCAGCCAACGTGCATTTCATAATACGATTTTATGTGGAGCACATTAGAAAAACAGCACATTTACTAAGAGTTATAAATAATGCTGAGAATAAAACATAACGTAAAGCAGCTAATTACCTTTGTCTGATACTGATGATTCACGTGACGATATCAATAAATCGTGACGTATAGAAGCAACAATAAAAATAAAGTGCAAGGTGCAAGTGTTTCAGTGTAAAATGCTGCTCTGTGGCTGTTCATTTCTTAAGTGAGAATACTGGAAACTGGTCAGAGTTAACAACATATTATTTTGTTTAAAACATATGGCTAAAACTACATTTGATATTTTTTGCACTGTTTTGCACTAGAAGAAAGAAGCCTAATACCTGATTTGTTTATTATTTAAAAACTCTCTGGACCTAGTTGTGGAATTTTCTTAATTTAGATTTTGTGGTATAGCAGTTTTCAAAATAAATGATGGCAAAAGGACACCCTATGTTTTTTTTTCTCATTCCTATTCCAAGTTTTATACCAAACATAGTGTGATATCATTACCGCCACCCTTCACAATACATATCGTGATATTAATTTTATGCCATATCGCACATCTCGAATCTACAGTAGTCCCTCGGTACTTCGCGGTTAGACTTCTGCGGACTCTCTCTATTGCGGTTTGTCAACATACAGTAAATAATATTGTATTGTACCAAAACAAAAAGAAAAATTGTACAGGACACATGATTGTCAACTTTAATATTACTCACATGACTGGGACAGTACTGGATACAGTACAGTAAAAAGTTAACGAAAAAATAAAATACTTCTGACAGGCGCCGCCATTTTGTAGTTTTCTCTCAGTAAAGCCCCCAGTATACTGCCGTGTACATCCATACGCAGAGGTACGCACGTACGTGTGTACCCTCCGTGCAAAGCTCACATTTTTACTACTGCATCCGCGGTGTCGCACAATAAACTTCCCAGCGACGGACTGTTTTGTATGCCACACCAAAGCAATAAATTCCCCTTCTTCATCTCTGATCTGGCTTTTCTTTTGTTTTTTTGCCAAGAGGCAGTGATCTCTTCCTCCTCCGTTGATGCCATGACTGAAATGGTGAGAAATGGGAGGAATTTGTCACGAGCAAATTAAACTCAGGTCCGGCGTGGCTGCGGGAGGGTCTGGAGATTTCCTGGTGGGCTGGTCTGATGTGTGGGCTGTAGAGCCAGCGCTCTGTTTTTTTTTTTTTTTTTTTTAGATCTTTTTATTAACATATAAACACAGAACACCGCT